TTTTTAAGATGACATCATTCTTTTTATTTTATTTTTTAATTTAAAATTAAGTTATCTATTCCTTCGAATATACAGACAACCTAGGGGAAACCATTTGTTCATTCATTTTTACTATAAAATCATTCCTTCATTTAATTTTTCCTTAAACCTAACACATTTGTTGTCGCTTCAAACTCGTAAGAATCATTATTTGGGATAAATTGCAAGACTAAAAATTGTTGAAAGTTTACCAATAATGAACAAAACATTTTTCCACTCTTACAATCTATCTCACATAATGATGTCGTTCTTGTTGATTTCACCTCGTGTAATTCATTGTTATATTTGAGATTAAGTTCTTAGTATTGTCATCCAAGGCAAAAATTCAATGATTTATTGTTTTTCTTGACTGACAATATTGAGAAACTTATTCCTAATCATGGTGAGAAGATATTGTAACCCAAAAATAAAATGGGGAATATTAAAAAAAGTGGTGCCTTTAGTTTTGTCTATAAACGAATCTTTGTCGATCATTTATAAATTAACAAGGGTCAAGATATTGCCAAGATACATTCTACATGAAACGTCAGTGATATGCGTTAAATCCTCACCAGCTAATCAGAACTAGATGGACAAGGATATATCTTGGATGAAAAGCTTTGAAAGGTAATAATGATAATGGAAGTATTTGTATTGAAAATAGCGAAAACTTTGAGAATTGCATAAATAATCTCTGATGGATTGCAAGAGTTGAAAAAAGTTATAAGTTAAAGGTTGGTTCCTTATATAATCTCTTATCTTGTGAATGCTAACATTATTTTCTTCATCTAACATTTATTATTTTTATATCATAAACAAATTCAAGCAAACCAAGCAAACCATTGAACTTGAAAAGCAATGAGTATGCAATAAAATTTAGAATCTGAGCTTTAACAACTTCAAACACATGATGATGATGAAGATTTATAATTTGTCAACAAATTTATACTTTGTAAATTGAAGCGAAAATAATGTAAAAAACATTTTATTTTAAATAAAATAGGACCAATGGCCTCAGATATTATCGAGAGTAAATCTAGTGTGTTTTAAAGAAAATACTAAAATGCGGTTGTTGAGGATTGAACCAAATGATCTATTACATTTTCCCTTGGGGTAAAAGATCAACCGAGGGGAAAATTGACGCACTTTCCATGTCACTCTTCATTACCTCGCCCTCCAAATCGAGGTCAAAGTCCTTTTTCAACTGAGGTATAAGCCTTATTTTGTAGTGGTGAAATAAGTGTAAGGTCATGATCGACATGGAGGAAGTGAAAACTAAGAGATTCAATGACCGAACATATGTATTCAGTAATTGAGCTTGATGTTGATTGCATTGTCAAGGTTCATTTTGAAGTCTACACATCACGCTTTATTATTCTACACACTTTTGAGGAAAGAGATTGTCTTTGAATAGATATTTGAGTGTGAGATTCTCCTCAATAAGCTCAAAGAGGTATTGCTCCAACCTTCAATTCTAATATGACCCAATGGGGAAGAGATTGTCTTTGTTAATTTGTCTGTATCGGTATAAGTCATTGGGGTCGTTATGGTGCAAGAAGATAGGACATCTTAGAAGCCAGGGTACTTCATTGGTAAGATATTACTGCAATGCTCAAATGCACGATACCAAAAGATAAATAAGATTGATTTGGCTCTCGTAACAATGCCTTTGAAATTGAGGAATCATTTCCTAGCACACGACATCACAATGAGTACAAATCATCACATCAAACAAGTGTTGCTCAAACCTGACACAGCATGACGAATGATGAAATGAGACATCACCTATACGTTGTAGAAAACCCTTATATGATAAAAGAATTAAATTAATATTATTGTTTTTGTAATTTTTAATAACAATTATTTTACAAATATTCGAATTTCAATAATTTAATTATTAACATTTTAATTTTTAATCCAATATAAAGTTATGTCTTATATCAGATTTTAATTTTATATTTTAAATTATATTTTAGAAAAATAAATTAATAGTTTATTATCTTACTATTGATTTTCTAACAAAATTCATTACGAATAAAAATTTTAACTTAGACAAACGTGAATTTATCTTATTCTTTATTCTATTGACCTGCAGTTACTAGAGATATCAAAGCTTGCCCAACATGAGAATTTGGCTCCATCTGTTGAACATAATGAGATTTATGCATATTATCAATTTTCCCAGTCGAATAATATCATAACAAACTTGTCAAATTTCAAAAATCAACTTTCCAAATACAAAATTTCAAACAGTCTTTTTGACAGCATAAACTGATAAACAAAACAAAAACATATACCTAATGGACACAGAATTGTTAACTGGAAATAAAGTTTTTGGTTTAGTATAGTTACAAGAGATCCAGCTTTAGCCACAGAATCAGCATCTGCAGCAAATACAATGTCCAAATCTTCCACAACCACATCGTTTGAACTTACCTGTCTCTTAATCAAGTCTGAGTTTTTCCTAGGAAACTCAACTTCACCAAATGGCAATCTCAAATCCAGGGCTTCTGCCCCAAATGCAATTGCTTCTTTCATCTTAACTTTCAAGAAATGCATACATAACTCCTGAACATGATCAAATTCCCAAGATTGACCTACAGAAGTCTTTTGTAAAGCCTCCTTTATTTCTGACTCCGGAAGGAAAGTTCGAGTATCTATGTTAAAGCTGTTTTGGAGAATACTAAGGCACTCGGCTTTCCAACCCTCATATTGCTCATTCACATATAACCAATTCAATTTGTGTTCTTTATTAGCACAAAACTATTCTACATATTCTGAGATAATAATAAGATTGTCCATATGTAATAATAATGTGAAGCCAAGTTTCTTTAACAATATGATGAATAAAAGAGAAGAGATGCCTTATACCCAACTGTAGATATGGGATGCCAATACATCCGAAACATTTGATAAATCAGCAAAAACTCTTTTTATAATAACAGTAGAAGAACATAAAGCAGAATTGATGCAGAACATGAGTTTGTAAAATATAAGAATGTTCTCATGCTACTTTGTACTCCACACAAAGGAATTTTTGTTTCTTAATTATATTTTGATCCATAAGAAGAGAATATTAGTGCCAAATACAAATACAATGTCGTATTCTAATCCTTCAAAAGTAAAGCTTTTGAGAAACTTGGATTATGGAAGGCAATAACTATGTTAAACTGTACACCTAGTATTTTTAAGGCTACAGTTTTGTGTATAATTGAGGACTTTGTTTGGCAGGGTGGCTCTTGTTGCAAGCTTGCTCAAAGTTGATAATCATTTTTGAAACATATACTAACTATATTGGTAATTTTAAAAGGAAAATACACCAAGAGAGCAAATGAAATTTTGTTTTATTAATATGTTAGACTTATAGAATGGGAACTCATAAGTCAAAAGAAATCTGTTTAAGGTATTCTACCAATTTTAATAGGTGTATTTAACATTTTTCTTTAAGTGGTGAAGTATACGTGCGTAGTGAATATACATATTTGTGATTGATAAATTAATTAAACAAAACCAAAAAAAAATAATTTTAACAACGCTGGGCTAACATAATTTCATATTCTACTTTATCATTTTGTTTTTAATAGTATTCATTTAGTTTTTCTCTTATCATATTTTATTATTTTCACAACATATTTTAAAAATTATTTTATTTTCATTATTACAATTAATATTTTAAAAAATATATTTTGTCTATAATGTTAGTATTGTATAAGTCTTGGATTCGATCTTTGTTCCAGGAATGCAGCTGTGTTAAATCTTTTGAGGAAGATCTTTTGAGGAAGAACTGTTCCGCTTATATAATCTTAAAAAACTCGAGAGATTAGTCTCTGCAGTTGCGCGTAGAAGATACACCTCACTAATATCAAAAAAAATTACTATTATTAAATGTTACCGTTATCCTATTTTTCAACTTATCTTATTTATTTGTTTATTTGACATTACTTTTATAAAATATAATACTATTATGAAATATTAAAATATAATTAATAATAATAAATTTTAAATTTATTATAAAATATTAGTATTATTGTATACCATTTATATTATAGTTTCGTTACCATAATAAATTACAATTCTATGAGTAATTGACAAAAGAAAAAAAAATTGGGAAAGAGGGGAGGGGGATATCAACTACTAATCCAAAAACATATTGTTTTTAAAATTATTTGAACATATTTATTTACACTATAATATAAATAAATGTGTGTTATTGATTTAAACACAGAAATTTTTTTTTATTTTAACTCTAAATAAGAGAACACAATATTAATAATCAAATTTACAAAATAAATAATCAAGATAAAACTAATACAACTTAATATTCCTTTAAAAAAATATTACATATTACATACATGAATTAATGTAACTATTAAATATAATCAATGATGATATATATAAATTTGTGGATTTCCATTGAGTATTGAAACATTTTACTTATATAATAACATTAAAAAAAATCAATGAATTTTTTTATTATAACAATGAAAACATTGTAATTGTTTATCAAGTTGAACAATATCATGAATGCACGAATTTTTAATTATTTTATAAAAGAGGACAATAAAGAAACTACACCGGAATCATGCAGAGCGGTAGGAATCCCCAAAACACCAACTTCTAACAAATGCTTAAACTGAACTGGAAATGACTCATAATTCACATGAGTTGTACATATCAGCCACAGAATAACTATCATGTTTGCTACCAGAGCCAACATTTTCTGCATATAATGTGGGTGAGCCAAGTTGAGCACAGCAAACAAAATGAACATGAAAATAAAATATATTGAGAATTTCAAAACTCAAAATAAGGAGGCCGAATTAGTGAACTTTTCATATCAAGGTCAAACTTTAACAATGGTATATAAATAAAATAAAACCAAGGATGCAAAACATTGATGGCTATAAACAATTTTCAATTTTGTGAAGACCAATGCCAAAAGATTATCTATATTTAGCCATGAAGAAAATTAAATGGTTCTGTCAAGGGCCAAGATTGGGGCCATTAGAGTATCTCCACTGGTCACAGGCTGAGCATCTCTCCAACTTCGCACTGTTCTCCAACGTGCAAAATTTACAAGACCAAGTGTTGTGCTTGGTAGTAACATCTCTCGGCTGTTGTGTGCCACACAATTCACATATAGGGGCTAATGACTGCATCAATCAGGAACGTTTTACATGAATTAGAAAAGTAAGTATGTTACAAGAGTATGGTAGTGTTAACTATATTCTTTAGAAGAAATAAAAGAAACATCCCTATTTCAAAAACACAATAACAAACCCTAACTTAATATACTAGGTAACAACACAAGAATGAAAACAAAATGACTGTAACGGATGAAAGCAATATAGTTGAATGCTTACTTTATTTAACAGAGTGCATGTCAGACACTGCCACATTGCATTTTCTTCAGAATGAAGTGTTCTATTATCACCAGATAGTGACCCAGATGAAGTTGATAAATTTGAAGTAGATCCAGCTTGAGAACTCGATTGAGAATATGGAATGAATTCTAATCCAAAACTTCTTCGTTGAGACCCAGTCTGATTTTCATCGACACATCCCTTTTTTGGTGTATCCATGGTCAAATCAACAAATGTATGATTACTAGATGAATGAAGTGGTAAACTTGAATCCTTGCCACGGCTTCTTTTTCGAGATGTCGGATCCAATGCTAGAGTAGAATTTTCAGTTGGTTTTGAGCTTCCCACAACCATCTGCTTATTTAGATGGTTTTCAGCAGATTCATAGTTACTATCTCCATGATCTGAAGGATCACATGATTGGGAACCACACCATAAGTCATCCTGTAATCTCCTTTCTGCAGCCATCGCAGCTGCTTGTACCGGAGTAAGTGCCTTCATTATAACACTATCACCACCAATACGATTTGGTCCAGATGGAAGAAGAGATCCCAACTTTGATCTCTTTTCTGCAGCTGAAAGTGCAGTTTTACGTAGAGATGAGAGTGGAGGTTGACGAGAATAACCACCCAAGCGCCTTCCTGGGAGATCAAACCCTTCTCCAGAGCCAGTTATCCCCTTAGACATCAACTCTTCACATTCCTGTGCATTATTAGTGACATGGATAGGTGGACAACAAATAAGCAAAACTAGTAGTTTGCTATAAAAAAAAGAATGACAAAGTTTTCTGCTTAGAACTAACAGCTGTAAACAACGGTTTGGTATTCTATCCAACTACTCAAGATTGTTTGCTTATCATTATTATTTGCATTTTTTTAAGATTCTTACTTAATACAAAATGGTACAGCAAAAAAAAAGCTCATAATTTTTTCAAAGAACAAAAGAGTAAATATCAACTAGAATAAATAATCTGGGAACTTCAGTATTTTGTACATAGATCATAACCCTGTTAAAGAAATCTGTACATGTCAGTGTAGCAGGAAAATGAGAAACTTACAGCCTAAACCAGAAAAATAGTGAAGAAATATTATTGAAAAATAAAGCCCACATTCAATCCCCGAAGCAATTGTCTGAAAAAAGTGTGTATTTTCAAACGGCAAGAAAACTTAATGTCCATTTTGCCTAGCATATAACAGAATCAAGGGAAAAGGAAAAAAGGGAACCTTTCTAAGTTCATCCCAAAGCTTATAGAAGCTGCTATTATGAGGACCATGCGCATTATGACAAAGCTCATGAAGCATCGTATCTAAAACTTGATCATATGGGTAAAAGTCCGTATCCCTGTTTGGCCTCCGTAGCCGCAACTTAACCTGAATACCAGCTCCAACATTCAACCCTAGAAGAGATGGATTGTTTGGGCTACAATCATTTAAACAAGTTCTTCAATCATATTCCACATAAAAATTAAAATAAAATTCAAACTCACTAACACTATTTGCCCGAACGGAAACACAATTCGGAACATTTACGCATAAGCACATATTAAAATAGCAGTATAAGCATCATGATCAATGTTTCTGTTCAAACTATTCTTTCATATTTTTTATTAGTGTATATCAAAATCATAAAAACTGCGATTTTCACTCCAAGTTGAAAACTTTCCGCTTTCTAAATCTCTTCCTTATCTTTTCTGCACTACCCATCAAAGCAAACACAAAAATAAAGCGAAATGAAATAAGAAAACGATGAATTACTAGAACTCAGAGAGAAGTTTGACCCTCCATTTGTGTTTATGCATGATAGGCTGAACTTGTTTGGCAATCTTCTCCAACATCTTGTGAGCTTGTTCTTCTCCTGGCTTTCTCTTCAGAGCTTTGATTTCCCAAACCTTGTGTAGGTCACCGACGTTCATTGTGGCAAACCCTAAAATCCCCAAATATAGAATAGTATAGCGATTGAATGGGAGTGGAGAGAATTGAGATTGGGAATTGAAGAATCTGAAGACGGGGATTAGGGTTTGTGGAAGATCGCAGAGAATTTGATGCGCGGTGGGAGAAGAAGGGGAAACATTGAAACGACGCCGAAATGAATGAGGTTTCTGAGTTAAAACGCGCGAGATTTGGGGGATTTTGAATTTCTCACTCGTTTAGGTGGGCCTCATTTTCCAAAATAGTATCTCATTTAAAATGAATATATTGTTTTAAATTTTACATACAAATTAGGGAGTGAGAGGAGGGTGAACTTCCATCCATCATGTAGAGTTACATGCGAACTCTTTGGTGATTGTGAAAGTCATAACATCTAGCAATAGTGATAGTGTCAGAGAGAGAATTCTTATTGACAAAATTTGACGGTTAATAAATTTGAATCGGGAGGTGTTGGTTCATCGTTGATATAGAAAGATTGGATGCGTGTATCGAAGAAGAAGTTGCGCGTTGAAAATATTTAACATGACTTGTGCAAGTTTAATGTTCGATGTTAGAATAAATATTATTATACCATTCAAGTTTATTTTAGGCCCAAAAATAACATTTTACTATTTTCTGCAATTTTTTGTTTTATTTATTTATTTCAGTTTTGGATTAAAAGCACATTATGGTTTCTTTGCTTCTGTATTTAAACACCTTTGGCGTGACTCTCAGGATTATCTTTCATATAATAAAATTCACTAGTTTCTCTATCTAGTGGATTCTAACATTCATTTGACAGGTTTTACACTTGCAATCATGTGTTCTCATTCTAGGTTTAGCGCTTGTTAATCCATAGTATTTCCGACTATGTCAGGTGGAATCACGGAAGGTTTCTCCTGTTTCTTTTTGTAGTTTGATCAACCATGGGAGATCAACGGTGACTAGAGAAATCTTGAGGTAATCACCGCAACTTTTACCGCGACTATAACTGCTTTGACTAAATAGATGGCGACTTTAGCAAATAAGGTGAACAACGCCAACAACAACATGAATCATTAAAAGAATGACAGGTTAGGGTTCCATGTGGTTGAAACAATCTTGCAGCTATAGTTGAAAATTCGAGTTTTGAAGAAAAAGAACCTTACAAGGAAGAGGTTGATCATGTGAATCGACAGATAACCATGAATACTGAGTAAATGTTGATATTTCATTGTTCTACACAACAGTGGGAGTGGAGGAGTTTCTGGATTTCCATATCAAATTGGACAGGTTCTTCGATGTTACGGGCGTCCTTGAGAAGAAGCAAATTAAGATGGTGGCGATCAGACTGAAGAGTATTCTTGTTGTCTGATGAGATAAACTTGTTATTCATAGCCAAAGGAATGGGCCAGACAAAACTTGGAAAATAATGAAATAAGTGATGCTAGTGGAGTCGGAATAGAAGTCGCGTTGTCCCAGGAGAAGAAACAAGTGGCCTTTTTCAGCAAAAAATTAAGTAATGCTCGCGAAAAATGGAGTAGTTATGATCATAAATTATATGCATTCTTTAGTACACCAGTGGGAATATTATTTGATTAAGAAGGAGTTCATTATGTTCGTTGACCATCAAGCTTTGAAGTTTATTCATGGCCAAAAGGTGATAAACAAGATGCATGCTCGACGGGTGAGTTTTGTGCATAAATTTTCTTTTATTATTCAGTATAAGTCGGGGGCTTTTAACAAGGTGAAAGATGCATTTAGTAGGAGGGCTTCCTTGATAATTACCTTAGCACGGGAGATAATAGGCTTTGATTGCCTAAAAGAGTTGTATGAAAGTGATGTTGAGTTCAAGGATTTATTGGCAAAGTGCAGTGGAAAAAATCTTTTTACGGATTTTCATATTCGAGATGATTATCTTTTTAAAGGAGATCGACTATGTATTCTTTGCTCGTCTTTAAGAGATAAATTGATTTGATATCTACATGGTGGTGGTCCTAGCTGTCATCTGGGTATAGACAAGACATTGTTGTGGAACCTTATTTTGCAGGTGATATGCTTTTAACAAGGACATCAACTTTTGATGATGACGACTAATGTCTTATGATAAGTCAAACATGAACGATTAAGCGAATAAAAATGTAAACCTAATCATTAGGGTTTGATGGACTTGATTATCCAATGATGGAAATCAAATGAAATGTAACCCAAAGCATCATCTCAAGCTACTCAAGCAAGTGTCCACAAAAGAGAAAACATCTGGAAAAGTCTTGAAGAATTGTGGTACCTCTTATTTTAGTAGTGAGTGAATAAATTGTAAAGTGTAAGGGCTATATCATAAAAGTACATGACTAAAGCACACACTCACACACTACAATCTATTTTTAAACTGTTTTTACTAAAAAATTATCTTCAAAAATATCTTGATATTGTGCCAGATGTATTAGGAACTGTCAAAATTGCAAGAGGCAAGTTTGACTTATCTAATCGACTGGTACTTTTGTCCAATCAGTCATCTCTGCTCAAAATTAAGTCCCAAGCTATTAAGATAACGCCTTAATGGTGTGAAATAGGTAGATATATTTTCCTTCCTTTTATAAACTTATAATTGTTTATATTTCAAACTTTTGATCTATTGTGAATATTTTTCAATCGATTAGATGGTCATAAAAAGAATTTATTTGAAATTCTTTTTTGAGCCAACATCTAGCCTATAAATAGGTCCCTCTTCTCATTTCATCCAAAAATGTTTTTTACACACCTTTATCTCTCTCTCTCTCTCTCTCTCTCTCTCTCTCTCTCTCTCTCTCTCTCTCTCTCTCTCTCTCTCTCTCTCTCTCTCTCTCTCTCTCTCTCTCTCTCTCTCTCTCTCTCTTTCTCACACTAATGTTTTAGCCTAAGTGCTTTTGTTAGAAAAGTCCTTTTGTGAGTGAGGACATAATTGTAATTCTGGAAAGGATAGAATTGTAAATTCACCTAGAGAATCTTTTGTATACACCTTCATTGAATATTATCCATTAGAGATTTATTTAGGTTAGAAGTTATACCCGTTAAAAGTTTTGGCTTGGGGATTATGTGATCAAACCCTAATTTAGGTTGAAGATCCGCTCGAGATAAAATCTCTTAGGTTCTTGGTCAGTCCGGCTAAAACCAAGATAGGTTGAAGCTTATCCCGCTATTAAAATCTTCATAGGTTTAAGATCAACATGGTGTTAAAATCTCACATGTTATTAGTTATCTCGTGTAAAACCAAGTTTTAGAGCTCAAGGTTTAAGAAGCTTGAAGACAAACATCTCCAAGGTTCTTATTTGTGGAAAGAGGACTAATCTTTTTAATCCACCATTGAGAAGGAAGACTGACCACTTCACTCCTAAGCTTATCTGGAAGAAAAGACACAAACACTCAAATCCATCGTCTTGTGTTATTTGGTTAGAGGTCAACCATCATTTCTTTGTATAAGGGGGTTCGTGAGTCTTTCCTACTAAAAGCTCTCAACGTTTATCGAAAAACCTCAAGATCAATCCTTAGATAGAGGAGTATGTCCTTTTGTTTTTACTGAACCTCTATAATTCTTGGTGTTCTTCTTTTCCCTTAACTCCTTTAATTTTCGCAATTTAGATTCAGTCGTTTACTTTCTTTTGCTAAGTTTTTGAAAACATTTTTAAACTCTAATTATATTTCCCAAAGATTTTCAAAATCACTCTTTTCTAAACCACATAATTCACCCCCTCTTGTGTGTGAAGTCTCAAGTAGAACAAGGGGCATCAGAGCCTAACTCATGTTTAAGGACTAATCGTCTTAGGAGGAAGGTGATATTAAATTTAATATTTGGAAAGCCAGGTTTATAATTTTTCTTCAAAGCTTAAATCATGATTTGTGGATAACAATAATAAAGTAGTGAATAAACCTTATTCCCTTTGGACCGGAAAGGAAAAGAGAAATATAGAGATAGATCTTAAAACTAACAAAAAGTTATAATAATGTTTCTAGATGATAGTAAACTTTATGATGTTAATCGTTGCAAAACTGACAAGGAAATGTAGGATGTTCTTGTAAAGATCCATGGAGTTTCTTTGAGTATCGAACGAGATAAGATGAACACATGAGGCGGAGAAGATAAAGATACTAATCATGGATGTTTTCTAAATTTAGAAATATTGGAAATTTTGTTGGAAACTATATTACTAACAAAAATCTAAGAATTAAGAATTTGAAGATTAATCCAACTCTTAAATCAATATATGGGAGTCTTCATGAATTTCAGGAAAAACCAAGAAGGAATAAAATTATAGATAAGTTGAACAATCAATTTAACTACTTAAAGATGAAGGAATCCAAACTGGAGAATCATCATCCTCATCATACTCCTATCATACAACTCCAATGTAATCATTTGAAAGAACAAACTCAGTAGTTGAACGATCCTCAAAAATTTCAACATCAAATGAAAGACCCTTTTGTTCAAGGAATGACAAAGAAGATGAATATGTTTCTTCAATACTCGAAAGAAGAAGAGGATGAGAGACATCAACCTTAAGGAGAAATATGAAAGAATCTTCTTCCAACGAAGAAGATAAAATTTGCTTAAAGGCATTATGTCGTGGCGCGAAAAATACCCGAGTGTAACAAACGCTTGAAATACAACAGAGTTTCCATCAAAGTTTATTTATTCCAAATGAAAAGGGAAAATATCGATAAAACCCTCCAGAGAAAAGAAAATAGTCGTCGCAACCAAATTCAGGTTTATGAGTCAGTTATGCGAGGGAAAGGTATTAACACCCTTCACATTTGTTGTACTCAACGGGATCCGTTTAGTTAGTTCTATGAAAGAGTGTTAGTGAAATTATATTTGATTTATTCTAGTTATGATGTTGTATACAATAACTAAAGGACTAAAAATAGTTTGACTATCCATTTGTGTTGTGCATGATAGGCTGAACATGTTTGGAAATCTTCTCCAACATCTTGTGAGCTTGTTCTTCCCCTGGGTTTGATTTCCCAGACCTTGTGTAGGTTACCTATGTTC